GAAAGTGCAAGGACAAAGTGAGCATGCAAGAATTCCAGCACGAATATGTGGTGGGAACGTGTGAAGTGCTCAGACAAGCTTCAGCTTAAACTATGTAAGTTGAATAAAGTTATTTTATTGTTAGAATATGTATTTCCAAAAGTTATCCTTCAGTAATGGAGAGGCATTAGGATAATAAGATATCTTAGAAATATAATTCTATATACCCTTTATTATTCATCATTCATTATTGTACTTTATTAAAAATGAACGATACTCATGATAACCAGTGTAGCATGGATTGTATAATATAATATATCAATTTAACTAAGTTAAATGGGTAACTTTAATTCAAATTTGCATATCTGAGAGTTTTATCGAAGATTCGCTCATTTAAAACTTTAAAATTCTACATAAGAATTGAAGGAGATATCGCTTCCAGCGGAAGTTCTTGAAGCTTTTAATCCGAACTCCATTCTTTAGTAGTGTACACTTGGCAAGTTATCGCGAAGTTAGCGTCAGTTCAAATCAGATCGTTACGCTCCGAGAGGAATAAATTGATAACTTTCATATTCGGCAATCCTGCTCTTAGAAAATAACGTAAGAAACGAGATTCTTAACAAGATCGAGCTTATTTAGCACCCGATATTTCGACGAAGTTATTTCATGGACAGTCGTTTGGATAAATACATATATGAACACAATTATAAGTTGCAAGGAAAACAAAATACCGGAACCTCTAAGTGCCATTGGTTAAAAAAAATGAACTTGTTTAACTTAAGTTGACGTTTCAAAATAATGAGTTTCACTGTGATAGAATGAAGACGACTTTGTTGGTATATTGATTTCTTAATATATCATTGAAAGGGAGAGCAGACCGCGTAGAAGCGCGTCTCTTGTCACTCCAATAAATCAAGTTGACGATGTACCTCGACCGCGCGGATGTTTTCTTACGTTACCTAGAGGAAAGGGAAACTGACAAAGCGACCCACTCGATAACGACTTCATTTTACATTATGTTATATTGATGCGATGGCAAGAAATACTTTTTATAACGTGATCTTAAAGGTCATGTTATAAAATACTTTATTAAAATGTAACAAACATGATAAGGTTAACCTACTCCTAGCTTTAAGCCATCACACCCCCAGCTAAATGTTAATAATAATACTTAACTAGTTAAGGGAGAACAAATACTAAAAGTCTTTCACTTTATCTCTCTATTCTGGATAATTTTCAGTGCAGTAAATTGACTTTTTGGTTAATATGATTCTTTTATAGATTTCCTGTCGCTGGCTCGTACACCGCCAGCGGCGCGCACTGAATATTCATAGAGCTGTGTCGATGGAAAAATGAATAAATGAAAATTGACTGCGACAAAGATACAAATGTGGTTAATGTCAATCAGTTGTATAATTAAAACGGAAATGTAAAACGACACATGTCCGGATTTTAAGGGACGTAATACTTGAAGCGCGGATTTAAACTTGATCAACGTATTATATGCAAATGGTCCACTGTTCAATATTGAATACGATTAAACACAACCTGTCTCTATCAGCAATTCTTTTGTCTTTGCGGTTCGGTGAAAGATTAATGGAGAACAAAGGGTACGTAGTAGGCTATTAGTATATTTTGTTTTAATTATTAAAAGAAGGGATTTAAATTATTATTGCTATTCTAACAATTGTATTAATTTGTATTTTGTTATGAACAAAATTTCACATAGTTACTTATGTACTGTAGTCGTACTTGTGATGGTTTTAGATTCAAAAACATTTACTTACTTAGGATTCAATAAGTTTTTTTCAGTTTTAAAATTAGAATATAATTTTGCAATTCATGTTTATTTCAACGAGTACAAAACGAAATAAAGAGGATAAAATCAACTTACTTTTGATGTGTTAAAATGATTGTTAATTTTTAAATAACACGTGCACGTGTAAATATAGCCGGCCGAGGGCGAGGATAGTATGAATCTAGGTAGACTTCTACGAATACGTTTGGTTGATGACTGACATGTTCGTGCATATGACGCCGCTTTCGCTCAAATTGAACGCGCCGAGTGATTGCCTCGAAGTATTCGCAATTGTTGCATCTACCTACACTGAAAATATACATGTGCGTGCAAAATTTAAAAGAGACGCGAGTTGTAAAGTAGGTCATGCTTTAACATATTTTTGTCAAGCAGGTCGCTCATTCCATCCCTTTACTCCCTCGTTCGATCTTTAAATTTTTTCTACTAAAAGACGATTATTGTACCCATACTTCTTTGTTTCTTATGAATTTCCCGAATTAATAGCTGGTCTTTGGTTATGTTACTTGCCAAATGGAGTGAATATAAAAGTATATTTAACTTCCATTATTAAAATTGATAAATAATAGATAATAATTGAATTTTTCAGTTACGATCATCGTTTTTATTTCACTGCAGAGAAGATAATCACTTAATTAAAATTAAATAAAAATACTATTGCTTTTATCCGTCGTAAATGGTTTGTTTATTGGAAATTGAGGCGTAAAAATAAAAAAAGCGTAAAGTCGTAAAAGTTTAACAGTCACAAACAAAAAGTTTAAAGCCGGCGAACTGAATTTCATGCATAATGAAAAAGTTAAACGAAACCGGTTTCAGAATAAATTAATAAATTCTGATCCGAACTCATTGCTATATCTCTATGTTGTATCCAATGTGTTCGCGCTCACAGATAAATACGTTCATGTTGCTCATAAATGTAATTAACGTATTTATTTATTTTGGTGTTAGCTCATATGTATGTATATATATAGTATTTATTTTAGTTCAAACTGAATGCACCATAAATTTACTAAACATTCGACATGTCCGCAGGGAGACGTCTGGTTTAGTATATTTACTATATACATAATATGTTGAAATATACATTTACATAATAATGTAACGCCTAAAAAGGGCATGCATGGACAACTTTGCATAATATTAAAAAATAATAACGATCGTACTCCACAGTTTAATGCCTTTGAGTGGAAAGACTCAAAAGTCAAGATATTTATCCGATGTTCACTAAGATTACTTTTGTGAAAACGAAACTTGAAATTAATAAAAACAAAAAAAAAGAAGAACTTCTACGCTATTTGACACAAATAAAAGAAACGGATACTTCGTCATTTGCCGACTAAGATTCGATTCATGTTCCTTAGTATTTTTAAATGGATTATTTGAAATGCTAACAACAATCTTGTTTTAAATTGTAAAGCGGGAAAACTGATCACTTTCTGAAACTCAATATAAAACAGTCTTCAAAGGACTCAGCTCAAAAGTAAGAAGCATTTAGTAGCTTCACAAAGCTGCTTTCATTTTTATTGCAGTCAACTGAAAGGAAATAAAACTTATATTTTTTTTATATGGAAAAATATTGTTTCCACAGTGAATGGAACGCAGCAAACGTTTTTATTAACAGAAAACAGAAATATTGTCATATAACATTTTTAAACTAAGTTTTTTTATTTAATTTTAAAATAGATTTATATAAAATGTGAAATTTTGTATGTGTAGCAAATGTAAAGTTCAAAAAAAGTTCTCGTTTGTGTATAGCACGCCCGCATTCTTTAGTAATACTGGCAATATCGCATTTTCCTTTTTATATTAAGTATCAAAATTATTACACGGTTATAAAATGTAAAGATTCCCATCAAATATGATTTACAATCTAATTAAAATTTACCTATAGTGAAATCATTGTATCAAATATGTAAGTTGCTGACAACATAATAAGTAGAGATTATATTCTGATAGTCAACAACGTGTTTATAGGCTTACGCTACAAGCTCGAATATAGTTGACGTTCACATATTTTATAGAATTTTACGCTTGATAATCTTATTACGTGTTAAAAAGTAGCCCATAAAGATAGGCAAGGAGGCTGCAACCATCTTATATCTAACAGATGAATTTGGGCAGCGATGGAGGCTCTCTTGTTTGTCAATTTGTACTTTATAAAAGCTGTCATCCATCATATTAACCTACGGTGACATTAGTGGAATGAGGATATTTGATTAATCTTCATGTTAATTAGTCGTATTGTATGTGAAACATATACGTATACATATAATTTGATATCTAGTTAGTTAGATTATAATTGTATTATTCGTTGTATAATCAACTAACAAATACTATGCAATAGCATACGTTAGCTCAAAATCTATTGCACTAATTAATGCAAGTCAGCCAGGAGTTGTCTGATCTGTATTCCGGATCAAATTCAAATAGAGATAGCCTCTGGGATATTTGGATTCTAATTTGAATTATTTCTGCAAAACATTAACTCATAGGTTTCAAAATTGGGTTGGTTATTGTCACATACGAACTGGTGGATGGAAAGCAAATTTGTATCAGTATGTTTGTTTGTTTGGATGATGATTTTTAATTTGTTTTAAACAGATTAAAAATCAAGTCGAAAGTAGCATAAAAGTTTAAAAAGAAAATAAAAAAGTAAACTTTGTTATTTAACATGTAGGCCCACTGCTTGGCTTGATAGGCAATATTTCAATATAATAATATTGAAATTTTATTACATAAGGAAAGTAATGAGGTCAAATTGAAAGGATAACATAACTGAATTGGTATAAAATTACGATGGCTTAATAAAAAGGCGAAACGTTTGACGCCGACGAATTGAATTGCAAACAAAATTGGGTGCAAAACGTAACAAGTTCAAATGAAAATAACTAATATCAAATTGTAATAAAGTTCAAATGTTTAATAATTTGCACTTAAAAACTCAGCGAAGTTACAAAGAGGTAAAAATTGGATATGGCGGTAACATTATCTTTGCTTAATAAATAGTTACTTCTCATGTTCAGTATGAAATTATTATTACTTGTAGACCCAATTCGTTCGGACAAAATCGAAACAACAATGTATATCCTCTAGTCACTGTTTACGGTCAATAACGATGTAACTTACAAGATAATAAAAAACTTATGCTGACGATGTCAATAAAATATTCCCGAAAATGCTTCGAAGACAAGCAAATAATACTTACATGGAGGTTGTCAAATCGGTGAGAGGAGCAAACAGTGCGTAGGGGCGGGGGGAGGTACTGTACCCAGCGGCTCCAGATGCCGTCGTCGGTGTCCGAGTCCTCAGAGTCGGCGCCGTCCGCCCCGGCACCCTCGGTGCCCACTTCTGGTCGGGACAATAAACACATAAATTAAGAAAAAATATACTTTAAACTTCTTTCTGCCGCACTCAGATTATTCGTAATTAAGCAATCTCTTAGTGCAGTTAGCTAACATTTAAAAAAGTCTTAGTAAAACAAAAGTTTGTAAACGAAGTCCGAAACATAACCTCCGATTACAATTTTTATGAAATGCCCTTTATTCACATAAAATTCGATCACAGGCGGTTTGTAAAAACCATTTAGTATCGGATTACCCACGTCCACAGAATGTAACGCAAACGTGACGCAAAATCGGATATTTCAAATTTGATATTCGCGATAGCCGCTGGTCCTTTTACATTTTAAAACTCGCTGTGGCTTAATGTCACGTGTCTTTTCAGTGACTTTTTAACCATTTCACATTAAAAAGAAGGAACGATGACTTGCTACATTGCTAGTTTTAAAGTCCTACCTACGTTTAAGTAAAAATCTTCGTAGTAGAAGCTTTAAAACTTTAGTCCTATAAAAGCGTAGCACTCGTAGACCTGAGCACAGGCAATAGCTATTTTATAAGTGAATTTTTCATCGAAGGCAGGGTTCCAATCTCCTTCCCACCTTTTGCTATATTTTTTTTTACTCCTACACAATAACATGATATATATTTTTAACACATTTTATGCGTTAGTCATTAAACCTAAGCCCACTTGTACATTTTCCGTATTATTTCATAAAAAATAAAATAAATTGACTGCTTTATATTATGATAAAAATAGATCGAAAATAATCGATCTATTAAACTTCCATTCTCTCTATTTAATATCTATTGGAACCACATTACTCCTAATAGGTATTAAGTACTTTACATATTATCCATTGTTGATATTTAATAAACCTACATTGGGAATAAAAAGTACGGATACATGTTCAAAATGAGTTGAAATATTGACATAGGGAAAAATTATTTAAGACCCTTCTTACACAAGGTAACGAAAAGCTTCGAAATCGGGCAATTAGTCGCTAAGCAACTTACGCAATACAGTGTCATAAAAATTCGTACAGCGTCGCACACGGCGCCGACATTTTGTTTTTTTTTTTTTCACCAAAAACAGTCGCTCGCAACCTGCTTGTCAAGAACGAAGTTAGAAAAGTCACTGCGATCTTCAAAATGGCGAAGTAAATCTATACAGTTGACATTTTGTATGACTCGCGTCGACGACTCCACGTCGATTATACGTCACGGAACGCGCGCTACGCAATACTCGCCACGCAAGTGTACAATATTAGTTATGAAGATTTACGTTTCCTTGTGTATGAAGGGCCTAAGATGACAAGGCAAATGTCACGTTGGTCGTTGAGAAAAGCCGACATAAAATATGTTTGATATCTGTCGGCACAGGCGTGTTGATGAGTGTTATAAACCTACCGCCTGTCACTTGTCGCTTGTCGACACAATGTGTTTTCTTAAGGGAAATGTTGGCAAATAAACAAATGGTTCCCATGAATTGAAAATGAATACAAACATGTACACGAGTTTGCTAGAAAAATCTTATGCTAAAAAGAAACACTAATTTAAGTCATTTTAGTATATTTTTCTTTCATCTGGGTGAGTGAAGAAAGCACATTTACGATCCCACGAGGTTTGCAGTTTTGCGGTACATTTTACTATGAATCTTTTAGTACAGTAGTTTCAATTTCATAACACTTTTTTAGCATCCCTAACACCACCTGTTAGGAAATTATAAAACCAAAAAGATATTTATAGTATTCTTACTTATATTTGACAAATTATGACAAGGTTCATGTTCAAGCTTCGAGAGCACTCCGTAAGGCACTTTTTGCTACTTATATTTTGAGCCGTAATAGTCACTGAGAGATTTCGTGAAGCGTGACTCTGCAGAAAGCCAATAGTAGACAGAAAATTTGTCGCAATTCTCGCACATTTTTCCGTCTTCTTAAAAATACAATTCTAAAAGAACATAAATTCAAAATGGAGACAATGCGTTCATTTGAAGGTCTTATGAATATTTGAGTAGTCGCACTGCATGGTAACAATCTCGCCACTAATTGTAGAAGCTCCAGCTCGAGCAAGCCCTGTTCACAGCGGCTAGGAGTTTTAGTATTTTAAATGTCACTGAGGGTTTTGAATCACGCTACCTAGAATATTGACTTTATTGCGATACAAAAGATTTTTATAAACGAAAGGAAATATAAAAAAACCAACATATCAAAATATACATGTAATATTTCGTCCAGAATTTTAAACAAAAATAAATAATAAAACAAAATCATTTCATGGAAACGAAAATTGATTAAATTTTTTAGAATAAAATAAACAGGACATAGATTGGAAGCGAGAATGATGGAAAATGTTGTACCGCGAAGTGAAACCACGTCTAAGTAATTGAATTTTTATCTGATTACTGAAAGTTTGTCCGCCGTTATTAAAAATGCCAACATTCCAAGTGTATCCATTCTAGTAATCTTATGTTGGTGTGAAATTCCAATTATGTCTTGAACAATGTTAAGAAGATTGACAACAAAATTTTAGAAGATATTTTGTTGTTTAAATATTTACATTTTAAGATCTTTACTTTACTGTATGTTCCATTGTCTCCCTGTTTATGAATCCTCTTTAAAAATATGCTTTATCAGAATTCATCCCTAAAATAGATCAAAGCAATGCAATTGCAAAAACACTGCAACTAAGTAATTGAGTTTTCAGAGAATTTCCGCACACATCCTAGTTCATGTCCCGACTACCGGTCGGTCGCCCACGATTTCGATCGACGAAAAAAAGTTGCCTATAATATCCCCGCGTGCATCAGTTACCTTCCGTAGCTATATTAACCGGAGCAAACGTGACCTTGCCTACATGCAGACAAAAATAAATAAAAATGGTAGCCATGACATATTCATATGTATGAAATATATTTTTTTCGGTGTAACATACAAACTCCAATGTTTATTAGTATGTATAGATATAATATAAAGATAATGAAACAGCAAAAGTCCGAAAAAAGGAAACAACTTCTACAAACAATCCATTAGAGTGATAAAGTAGAAGAGAAAAACAGAAAAACGAGTAGTGTTGTATAAAACTGCAGTAATACTGTAACAAAGCTCAAAGATAAAAAGAAACATATCATATGTGCTGTTAAATAGAATTTATATGTTGTATTTTTTTCAATCTTCGAAGCTTTCATGATAATAATGGGACCGGCATAGATATCGGGGTGTATACGCTTTTACGTCGACGTCAAATTGGACACACGGACGTGTTGTTACACTTGATGTGACCATTCGTAGCGCGGTAATCGGATATCCGTCTCGGATAGGCTCGCTTTTGAGAGTACTCCATGTATGACATTGTTTGAATTCAGAGCACAATTTCTAAAATCTTCACAGATACTGTTACGAATTGTTGCTATCAAAGGAGATTTAGAAGCTCATCAGATCATTAATGTACAATATTATTATAAAATTATGTTTTCCAGTTGTTAGTCACATATTGCTAATTCTGAATTAAGTTATATTTGATTTAAAATGTACACGTGTAAAAATTACTCTAAAGTAATTGCTTGGGCAAAAAATAATTTTAATATATTATAACTTGTTCTCACAAAGAAGGCGTTTCGGTAAAGAGAAGAGGTTATTTATGATAATTATATCATCAGGTACCGATTTATGAGGCCCTTTATTAAAAATTCCCTTCACTTTGAGTTATAATGGAAGAAAACTTTGATCTTTGTTACGTAAAAGGATGCCATGAAACAATGTTAAATAAGTAAAATGTATTTTATAAATGTTTAATACAATAAAACTTCGCCTTCATTATGTTAATCTCGAGGATAGATTCAACGGAGAGGAGAGAGAGAATTCATACATGCTTAGTATTTAAATTACATGTCAGAAGCATTCCCGTCAAATACTTGGAAACGTTTACACATCGATTTTCCTGTACATTAATTTTCAGATCATGAATGTCATTAGTGTCATTTGCAGAGTGTAATTAAAGTGCACGAAGCAGACATGTGCAGTGGCACTTGTTGTCTACATCGACGTATAAATATATGGAAATATATAGACTACACAAAATAAATATAAATAAAAAATATTGAATACAGAAAAATTAAATAAATTTAAATTTTAAAAAATCTCATCAGAAAAAAATTTGTGAATTTCAATTGTATAATTTTAACAGGTTGTGTTTAAGTCCAGCAACGCCTTTGATTTCTATCACATTTCTCAAAGGCTTTTTCTATGATTGGACAATATTGTTACTATAGAAGTGTCAAGACAGTAAAGACACAAAGAGCAAAAGCTCAAAACAAATTATCGTATTCTATGTTATGAACAATACATATTTTGTTATCAAAGGCGACCTTCGTCATGGTAAAGGTATCGATTCTATATTAAAAACCGTATCAAATCAAATTTTCTTACTTCGGATTTTATCGCAATTTATCTAACAAAGAGCGAGAGCGAGAGCCGTAAGTACTTTTAAACTGTGACGTAACCTGAATAAACAAGAAAAATTGCTTCTCAAAAAACTTACGACACTGATACCTTTTTAATTTTCAAATTTCTGGCGTTTATAACGTCTTTTATAATAAACATAATAAATTGTTTCTGTAACAGGACTGAAATAGACATCAGTGTTTGCCAATTTCAAACTTTCTTAATAAATTTTCCATCAGTTTGAGATTTGAGACATTGCGGTTATCGTTTAAAAATTAATTATACGAAGACAAAGTTACTGATGATCCTTAGTAATATGTATGTTATGATGTATGTAGTGTTTAAATATAATATATAAATATTGAAACCGGCAACAAAAACGTCAGAAGGATAAAGGTTACAAGACGGTAACCGGATTTCCGTTTCGCACATAAGTTATATTGATACGCGTGCACGATGTCTCTATTGTGAGCTATTCTCGAAGGCGATAACTGAGATAGCCTGCACTTCATTTAAATTACAAATCGCTTACAATTTACAAAGTCACCTTTTGCCTCACGTTCGAAATAATAACAATTACAGTCACTATTCATATGTTAAAATATTTTCAAAAATAAATCTTAATGTTATTTTAATATTTTGATTCAATTGAAAACCAAGCCCTTTTGGCATATCATATTGCGGGCTTCAACAACATTATTTCAAAACACTGAAAAGATATACATATTCATAAAACTGGAGTGTTTGTATGTAACATTGAAAAAATCATATTTCGTACACATCATGTCTTTGTCAATTTTTTTTTAATATTTGTCTGTCTGCCTGTATGTATGCCTGCAAGGGTGCGTTTGTTCCGGTTAATCGTCGCGGAACCGTTGAACCGATTTTGACGAGATTTAGACTGGAAGGTAGCTGATCCATACGCGCATATACTATTAGTTACTTTTTATAATTCTGCTCTAAAAAGCCGCAGGCGACCGCTAGTAGACAATAATTTTAATCACATGTATTAGTAGAATTTATATTTGTAGAAAAAAAATAAACTTAGTATATCTTACTGAAAATAATATAAACGTGTGATAACCGTAAAATGTTCGAATTAAAGCCATACATACATACACAACAATAATGTCAATTAGATTAAGTGATTTAATTTATTGTCTAGTCCCTTTTATGTTCCCTAAAACTATGTACGCTCGGTGTAATCCCACTTTGTAAATTAATATACGTTCCATAAAGTATTGTTACACCAACGGACGAAACCGGGATTAATCACAGCGGCAACATATATTACTTTAGTGTGGACTTCCACTGTCATATTATCATCTATGTATTTCAAAGAGATTGTAATGATTGATATTAGAATTACAATATTACACGTTATTGATTTATTCGAGAGAAATGCAAATTATAAATGTTAAATTCACTAAGTTAAAATCTCTTTATTTACATTCTTGTATTTCAATACGGTTGTCCGGAGCCAAGAGATTTGAATATTGTATTCTAAAGCGACATCTGAAAGCAAAACTCTAAACAAAAATTGACTATTAATGTCAATCTCATTTTTCAAATTTTATTTTTAAACTAGTAGTCACCCGCGACTTCGTCTGAGTAGGAGTTTAAAAAAAATCACACCTACGTAAGCCTACAATATTCCCCTGCGCAACAGATACCTCCCGTCCAAGACACGTCAAAATCGGTCCAGTCGATCCTGAGATTACCCAGAACAAACGCTGCCTTACAATACGTAAACGAAATAATAATCATTTTTCGATATTAAATACAAACACTGCAATTTTATTAATATGTATTGATATTACATTTTTAATGGAAACATTTCTCCGCTGAAACCGCAAACAAAAACAATTGTTCCTCTCACTCTCTTTGAACAGAGACGGATGATATGAATACAATGGAATAAGCCCGGCAGTGGAAACCGACGCTTAGAGAACTATGTGACTCTTAGCAATGTGTTATAAGCTACCTTTACAATGTTGTGTTGTGTTCAGAGATCGGCTTAGACTATTGTCGTCGTGAATAATACGAAGAAAGAAATAAAAATAAAATTAAACAAAGAGAAAAATAAAATGTTATTGTACAAATGTCATTGAAATAACGTTTAGTTTTTGCGGACAGACAATGTGCCGCAACAAGCGGCCGCAACATAACATACTCGTACATACATAGCGGACTCACTAAACTTATTGCATACAACTTAAATCTTTTTCTATTAAAATTATAACAATGCTGTTTTAATGTTTTTACAAATTTATAATCTTATTTATATATATATAAAAGTCGTGTTTGTTACACTATTTAAAACTCAAGTACGGTTCACTGACTTGGCTGAAAATACGGACATTCAGAGGGACGTTACATAATTTTTTTTTTAGTAATAAGAGTCGTGGAAATAGTCTTGCTCTTTATAATAAAACAAATATTTGTTTTTAGTTATATGGTATATTTAATTACGTTTCTAAAATGTTGGTACAAAATTAAATCGTAGCGCAAACTAGAGATTGAATTCTAAAGAATTTCATCAATTCAATACGAAGCTAATAATAAAAGGTAATCGCGATTCGGGGCACGTGGAATCAGATATCACAATTTACCATTAAATTGAGATATACGTGCAAGTTTTTTCAAATAATTATAATGAAAATATACATTGTTATTGAAAATGGAAGTTTACAGAGAGTAGAAGTAAAAAGTATCGAATAATAAAACACTGATAGAGTTGTTTTATTTTATTTTGATACGTTCATGTTATATTTATTAATTAAAAAGCTTCGATATTCTTGAATACAAATTGAAATGAATTTACTTTTTATCATTTGCTTTGTTATTACAAACTCAATATAAGGATCTTTCTAATAAAAAATAGTAGCTTGCACGAAGTACTTTATAACGAACTGACTTAGGGATAGAATGGAAATGTGGGAGTTACGAGAAAGCGTTGAGGGTTGTTTTATTACAATCATATCAAAAAGAATGCCGAGCGAAAACTGAACATTAGGGTGCCTCTACATCTAACTAAAACTTCGCATAAGCGAGCGGTTCGCGAGCTACTTGTGAATAGCTACGGTTTGCGATCTACGCTCTTTTGTTTCAATACGAATCGTTGTTACTGCCAAGTTCCCGAACAACATTCACGGCGCAATCGCTAGATGTAGACGGATCCTTAGAAGCCTTTGTGCTCGGCGCGTGCTATCCGGACCAAACACTATTTTAATACGAGCATTGTTCACTTATCATAAATTCACAGAAAACGTCGTTATACAGATTCGCCAAGTCAAAGTGGAATCGTGGACAATACTGAATTAGAAACGCTTGGAACAATTGAAAGCTGGACTTTCTGTTGACGCCATTTTCATTATTATTATGATTTTTCCAGACTCATGCGAGTTGTACGTATGGAATTAACATTGGTAATTGAACAATATCAAATTTGTCTGTTAAGTACTACGGCAATGACTAGATCAAAGAAAGGAAGGAAGCATATATTTACATAATAATATGACATCAGATTATTGAACACATGACCTATTTGCGGTGATATTAATTCAAACGATAAGAAATCACGTCACAGTGTAGGTGTTTCAAGGAAAAGATCTCAGCCCCCGATTTCATCGACGAACGGATCGTGTCGGAAATAACCCTTTGAGGAACCATCTTTTATCTTCATGTAACTTATTTAATTTACCTAATGAAGTGTACTGAGATTTGTTTCCATTCAACGACTATATACTGATTAATGTGTAGTTATTTTTGTGATTTTTTAAATGATATAATATTGGTTGCGATTATAACGTTTATTTGATAAAAATATGTTATCTGATATCGAAATCATATTATTCCGTAACAAAGAAATAAATTCATGATCATTTATATATTTACAGGAAAATAATATATTCCTCGGCATTTTTGTTAACCTACGCATAAGATATGATGCCCTGCCTCATTATCTTTGTAATTCCTTACAACTGAGTTTTCTCTGTTATTACGTATTACATCGAAACGAATTCCTTGTAATTTTTCCAATATTATTTTAACTATTTTTATACTTATTTTTGAAATTATTATTGTATATAACAAGGGTGATGACGATAAGCAAAACTTAGCTAGAATCATGTATGTATGAAACAGAGAAACTTTATTTATGGTTCAAACTAATTTTGGCATCACAATCCAAATCTAGTCACCGTACGTTGAACCACGGAAGTTCAATCAAAATGCAGTTGCAATGCATTCATTACAAAAATAGTTTGCTAAAATTGATTTTTGTCTGTGTGTATAAATTATAACATTTCATATGGTTTTGTTATCTAGCATCCTCATATGACAGAATATCCTAAAATGCTAATGGATAGAAGTAAAAAACATATAGAGGTTTCATTTGTTTGCGCAGCCCGAAACTACTAAATGAGAATCGATCTTGTTTCGAAACTTTTAGCAAAGCGCTTTGCGTTTTCAAAAACGTGCCGCTTTGTATGCTAGACAAAGTCTACCGCAACTTCACTCATTCATATGTAAAAAAATTGTAAAATAGCCATGTACAGTTTTTGATATCCTTACCTTCATTTAGCAGAGGTTCGACTTCTGCGTCGGGCCGGCCGGCCGGACATAGCGGCAGCGCCGGTGAAGACGATGGCCCGGCACCATCAGATTCCACCTGAAAACATTAAGCTCTTTGAGTCAAACTGTCCAAATTCAAATGCAGTCCACATAAAAAATAGTCAAGTTGCATAAAACTGTTCCAAGTATAGCTTTGTACAATAACTATGTGAATGCTAATGATATTTATATGTTTACAGGACTGCCTAACCTATTGGAGAATATTATCAATCTAGCAACATTTGTTAATCATAAAAGCATTCTTATAATCCAACATAAGTATTCAGTAAAGTAAAATGAACAATGAAGACAAAGTAAAGTAAAATGAAGGAATTGTAAGAACTCACATTCTTACCTGACCGTTTTTTAAAGTATCGCACTCGCATTGTTTTTGCTCCGTAAGATTTTTAAAAAACCGCAACAGACTCCCATTGGTATGAAATTAAAGGCAAAGTTAAGAACGAGCAAGTTGAAGCAAATATAAAAGTAAAAACTTATTATTATAACAGTTCTCGTCATATTTTAATACGTTCTTTTTTACTAAAATTGTTTAAATAATTAAAATGCAATAAACCATTTTATTAATCAGTGATCAACAAAGAGATTCAACAAAGAGTAATGTAATTACAGCCGTCAATGTCAATAAATAGATTATAAAGAAAAGACAAAAATAAAATCTGTCAGATATCGTTTTCAATTCTAATCGTTCGATAATAGATAATAGAACCCTTGTGGAGGGGTTTGAAATAACGCAACCTTTTCCTCTAGTTTAAATTTTTAAAGGCTTCATAGTTCTACAGCTAGAAAAGGTCACGTTATCACATATCAAGTAACAAAAGCTATTTGCTGTGGCTTGCACACTAAAATTGATCGAACATGGTTATATTACTGTTTTATTAAAATAGTAATATATTTAACTGCAGCTTTAACGAAGCTTTTGTGATATAGTTTTGAACAGTTTGCGAGTACTCGTCAATAAACTTTCTATCCCAACCGATTTTGATAGGATTTAATTTTTTTTCATATTTACTCTAAAAATTAGTTCTTTTATCAAAACACGTCACAATAAACTTTATTCCGATCTCTATATATGTTTAAATGGAGAGACAAATAAGTGTCATATTAATATAATAAGTATAAGATATTGATGCTGTAATTAATTACATAAGTATGCAACAATAATTTATTGTTATCATTACTTACTTGCAATATAAATATTACGTAATTTAGTAATTTACATGACATACTACTGATTATTGGTGTTAATTAATATACGAGTATGTATGTGAATGTGCAAATTGATATTAGTGAGTAAGAACATAATAGTTTGAAAGCTTAATTAGTATTTGAACATTTGATTTCAGTGACGTCATAAGGTGCAGTGATTGTTAACAAAGATGTATAATCCATTAGACACAAAGGAATCTCGACAAATATATCTTTATTCAATCCATGTTAACAATGAATCGTGGGCTTAATTAAATCAGTGGCTCAGCGCTCATCGACTGAGGGAACGGCGAATATTATTCTCACAAGTAAATCAAACAAAACTAAATGCTCTTTATTTTGAAGGGAAAGATATTGGAAATTTTATTCGAACGTGAACTTCCGACAGCGTTAATCGAATTATTCATAATAAACGAATATTACGACTCCTCGGTGATTCTATTACGCTCCGCTATTTCCTATATTTTTAATAACACGCCGACTGCTACTCGAATATCAGAAACCCAACGACTCGTGTTTATACTTCAAATGTCTCTAGATGATATTTTTACTTATAGAAACTCTATTTCCTGAAGAATTTTATACTCAGTAAATATTATTAAGATTTAACAAATAACCTATCGATTGGTATTTTAAAGTTATATTTCTTCTTCTGAACTCTAAGTAACTTCCGCTTCTCTTAGGATGCGAGATGAAAAGTGTCAGGAGATTTCAGCGAATGTTGAATTGTTATATCCCAAAAAGTTTATGTTTAAATGGAAAATGTTTAATAATTATTTAAAATAGAATGGGTTCTTGAATTCATAAAATTGTAAAATCATTAACGAGAAATAAAATGTTTTGTATTGTGTTTCCCCTGAGCCTTGCGATACCAGCACACCTTTCAACATTGGTGTGTTTGTCATATATACATTAGTGTAAAGAAGAAAGTTATCCAGCCCCTATTCCTATTAAGAAGAGATTACTTAACTATTTGTGGTTAAAATAAAACCCTTTACATGGTTGTTTGGATTTGTTCGGACAGATACAAGGTTAGTTTTTTTTACGTCGATATTCATTCAATTTAGACTTGTTGTTTCTAGTCTTATTGACTACCGATTAGTCTAGGTTGAACCAAAGGAATAAACTTCGTGTTTATGGAACAGGTAAATTGGTGCGTAACATTGGCACGGAACAGCAGCGGCGGCGCGCGACGCAGCGGTGAGCGCTGGCTGATGGAGTTGAAACACATTAAAGTCTGTCAAGATGTCTCCAGTTTGTTTGTGGAAGTTTAAATTGAGGCTTTGATAGTCGTTTCAGTTGGTAATTGGATTACTCGGGTGGCGAGGCGAGATGCCATTAAAATTGATTATACAATGCTATTGCTGTAATATTTCCTGTCATTGTGTTTACGGGGAGATGTTTTACTGCCGCAAAAAATATTTGATTTTCAGTTTCTTTGACGTTTAAGTAAAAAACTTAAAAAAAATCCGAATAACGATTTAATTATTGAATGTTGGAGTAGTCGCGAACAAGTCAGGTTGAATGAATGAATTATTTTTCAAACACATTTGATTTATACATCCTAATCAAGCAAGTTATTGTAAATTTGAATCACGCTGCAAAGAACACTTGTAGATATTGTAGCATTTGCCCACTACCCCGTCCGAAATTAAAAAAAATCTTAATTATGGACTACTACACAGACTATGTGGATGGAGTCCGTAACCAGCGTGCTTACGTAATAGGAAGAGGATTACATATTATTTCGTGAGATGATACAAACTAAAATCGTTCTCTTCGATCTCATGTGTGTCTCGCTGTGATTTTCGAAGTAATTAAATTAGATCCTGATTAGAATTTCATTGCGACCAATATTTGTTCTGTCCGACTTGAAACCTTTCATACCTACAATGTCTCTCCTATGTAATATTTGCTAGCAAAGAAATTAAATTAACTTGACCTTGTTTTTTGCTTTGACAATCTTAAAACTTCCTAAGAAGTAGTATAAAAAGTATCAAAGCTGTTAGGATTGAAAATTCAGAATGTTCTTGTATGTGGGGAAATATTTTTCTTTTCATTCTTAATAAAATGCTGTATGTTATAGAGAAATGGAACGAGATAAGCAAAATTACATCTGATATTAAATAGGATTTTATATTCTCAAAAGCAAGTCACAAAGGAATCAGAAATACAAAATCCTGCAGATGACATTTGATGTCACTTCTCGTTAAGTTAGGTTTGTCATTTAACTAAAATGGTATTAGAATTTAAGGTATTATTTAAACACAATACAATAAGACGAAGGCAAAAGTCACCTCAGTCATTTACAAGTCGACTGCCCGCGTTGCTTGTCACGTATCACTTTCACAATAACTTGTCAATATTGGAAATTAAAAAAAAACGTAAATTATCAAGTCAATAATACAATTTGTCGTAGTTATTATATCATATGATTATCCTGCAGTTTCACCAACAGAAATTCCAATCTTGTATGCGATTCATGTTCCCAGACGTATGTACATATTGTGAAGACAGAGATATGTATTCAATGATTTTGTCGCCATCAAAGGAAAATAGTCCAAATAATAATTACCGTTCAACGGTGGCTGGCATTTTAAACTTTTTGCAATTTACCCTCGTTACTTTGTGAGACCCATCTCATTACCAGCGCTCGCATATTATTAAATAAATAAAAGGACCTCCCTTTATCATCACACGGTACTACGACGTGTATTTTACTTTTCAAAACAACAATGAAATTGTAAAAGTTTCCCAGACCCTTGTGTTTCAAAAGTAACGAAATTGAACCTTACTATTCCGCAGTTCAAGCTTATTTTAATGAACATAAAATAGAAGAATAAAAGTACATTAACATATATTATAATAAAGAACATACATAGATCCATTAATGAAGATTTTGTTTTCTAAATCACTTATATATATGGCCATGTTTAATTATAATACAAAAATTAAATGTTATTGAAATTTTCTTATTAGTTATGTACTTGGCGCGAATTTGTGATATTATCTTTTATAAAAAGCTTTCGATATGTCAATGGATAATAATAGATGAACTGAATATGTAGCCTACGTCAAGGAAATCCATCAAGGAAGTTACCCGTCTAAAAGGGGAAAACGTGCCGTATTAATTTTTATCCAAAATAAGGAAAGAAAACGTATTTGAAAATAAAATACAATGGATTTTGATTCTTTCAACAAGTTTAATGACAACAACAATGTTCAGCAACATTTCAATCATCGTTGATTTTTTTTTTACAAAATCTTATTATTATTTAAACAAGTAGGTAAACTGTTATCGATCGGAATATTTATCTCAAACTTTTTATGTTTATGTACTCTTTTACTTTCCTACATTTTTAAAACAAAGTTATTTTACTTAATCTCCATAATGTTGCTTTTATGTAACTACATTCAATTAAAATGTGGAATTGAGTGTGAAAATGAAGTAACAAAAGGCGTCTGTAAGTCACGTAGAAAATGTAATGTGAAACAAATAGAGGAGCAATGAAACGAAAATCGAGTCCAATTAACGAAGTTATTCAGTCAAACGAATCTTACTCGTACGTTTACTGCGAACAATTAAATCGTCTCATCTACATTATTAACAGCGCGTACAGTTTCCTCATTTTGAACATAATATTAATTTTATATCAATTTTAGTATTCTCCTTTATTGCAGCGTCAATAAAATTCGTAGTTAATGTTTTTTTTTAAAAGAGTTGAGGAACCGCAGATGCTTTGCAGGTCTTCATAAAGATAGGTGATATTTGAGAAGGTTGTTAACATAGTGGTAAGGAGGGAAGGAACTCTGATGATGAGCATTCCGCTA